GGTGATGATGCAGGATGTTTGCGATAGGTCATCATCAGATCCAGTCACCCACTCTCTCTGTGATCTTTTCACTCCAAGGCTCTAAATGTGATTGGACAAAGCTTGTGGTTGTATGGCAATGAAGCATCAGGGTCAATACATTGCTGTATGGTACCAAGGTGCTGGACCAACGGGAGGATGAACGAGAGCTGGAATACTACCCAAGATTAGACAGGAGCAAGCGAGATGCTGAGGTTTGATTTGAACCACTGAGCTGTCTCGAGATGTCTGCTGATATAGCACACGTTGTACATACAGTACCACGTTCCTTAAGTGATCACAAGAACTGCCTTGACAGAATCCACCGTTACCCCATGGGCTCGAGATCTTTCAGTTATACTGCTGCGAAACTTCGTTAGACGTTTTATTTTGATCGTATGGAGACCAGGAACGGCCCATGGTATTAAGTCTTGGTCACTCGTCATTGGCCTGCTTTGTTAGTGGAACTATGTTACCGACGACTTGAAGGGCTCAGATATTACTCGTGATGGATTAACTCAGTGAAACTAATGGCTAGACTTGTCTGTCCTGACGGTAGCTCAGACCTCGTACCTGTGAGTTGCAAGGCAGCCTTGTATCGAGAGGATGCTACAGTCGAAAGTCTGTTTTTATGATTGGTTACGGGTCATTGCTTCAGCCTCGTTTCCGTCAGGCATGTTGATCACGGTTTTCTGCTCCGTCAGCTGTAGAATGGTGGGATCGTGGGATTGCGCATGAGTCGCTCCAGCTTCAGCCGGTGATTTTGGAGTCTGCTACAGGCGACCAGTATGGAAACATTCCTGCATCTGCGTGAAAATGCGCATGGCATTCTCAGGTGGGTTTGGTGTTGGGTATGGTTTGGTAAGGTGGTCTTAAATCACAAGATAGCGGAAGTCCACTTGCTCCAAAGCTGATTTTGGTGGTCACTGTCTCTTACTCGTGACACGTTTAAAAATATATTTTCGAGGAGTGAGTAGACTTATTCGGGTCCCACATACCATCAGTAATAAACAGGCTCTAGGCCGTTGTGTTGCCATAATGCCGGGTCAGGGACATTTGTGTAGTGTGATAGTAAAACGCTTAGTAACCGAAATGTGGTGTGGTTAATCTGGAATATGTGAGTACTTGGGTCACCGATAGGTGTTATCTGGACAATTCTTGCGTTTTCGGTCAGGTCTCCGGTTTGCTGAGGCTGGTTCATGTGGATTATTGATGCCGAGGTTCAGTTACTGCAGCCGGTGCTATTGAAATCGTGATGATTTTGAACTTGGAACCGACTGCTGTGGTTGTATGCGGTGTTTGTCCAGATGCCGTAAAAGATAACACGAGGCATCTCAGTGTAGATTGCACTGTTGGATTAGTATAATGTTGCTGGCCCCATGGCACCAGCTGGATCACTTGGTGTGTCGATATTCTGGATGTACATATGCTGCTATGGGCTTTCAAGCTACTGAGTCGTTACGTAGGTTGCTGTTGGTATCACATGTGTCTGCATCTCACTTGGAAGCAAAGCCTCCGTTTTGTGATCCCTATTCATCTGCGACTTCTACAGTGTTGGATAAAAGCGTGCCAAAAGGTTCCTCGTAACTATACTAGTAAAAGCTCCTGTAACAGCATGTCGTGAGAAACAGAACGGACGCAGGAGTGCGTCGTTAACGGAGACCCGGTTCTACCGAATCCTTTCAGCTGTGTATGACGTTCCCCGGGCCGAAATATGACCGATGAGGTTGTCGGTGTTTTTAATGTTCGTTCTTGATGCACAACGCGACTGTGGGTCTTGGCTGTCATCTTGTTTCGCAGACATCCTGTGAGTGGTCGTGTAAATGCTTCTGCCAGTCGCGTTTTTCCTCACATCGAAAATTGTAGCTGCCATACTACTGTATTTGGTGTTCGCATTATTGCGGTATAGCCCCAAAATGGTAGTGACAAAAATAAGCATGGCTGCGATCTTCAGATGAAGTGCTCGAGGGCGGCTTAACGGTATCTTTGCGCGCTCACCAGATGAATAGAACCGGCTTGACTCTGTACCTACACGGTTCATGACTTCTTCCTCAGAGGCGTCGCACGAAGGTCATCCGGCCGGTATCCTTGGCATCTTGTTCGCCGGCTCTTGTTATTATGCTCAATGCGTTATTGGGTTGCGCCTGTGCTACTGCAGCCTGCGGAGTGCATGCGAGCACGACAAGAGACTCTTCTTTGATGTCGCCTTGTTTGTGTTCACTTGTAGCTTACAGGCAGTTGCCAGAGTTCCTGTCGAGGTGCACAAGAAGTAGTCGTCTAATTGCAGTCTACGCACATCGGAATAGGTGTTACTGATATTCGTCGCATTTAGGAGCTCAGTGGATTCAAACAACGCATTGGCTGTTTTGTGCAGCCATTCAGTTGCGATTTGGTTACTTTTTTTTCGATTCCCTGGTTCTTTTGAACCGGACGCGTTGGTTTCAATTATGGCAAGCTTGCCTCAGCTTGAGGGAACTACTAGTCTGGATTTACTTTATGGATAAACTAAGTTTTGTTTCAGAGTAGTAATGACCACTGTCTTGTTAAACCATTCTGATACAACGATACTCCCGGGACTACAGCCTACGTAGCAGTTCTGTGCACGATAACCAGTAGTTCGTAACCAAAGGTGTAAACTAGACAGTTACTTCGATGGCCCGCTCAGAAAACTGGCGGCCAATCTGCAGATGCCGCTAACGGTTATACAGAATTGGGTGGGAAGGAGAAAGTACGGCAGTGAAGCATCGGTGTTGAACACTGACGTCATGCTGTCGATGATGATGATGGGAAGGAGAAACCCAACGGCTGGGTAGGGTACGACATAGTCGGTTCTTCTATAAACTGTATGACATAAAACAATAGGCCGCGTGATCCTGGTTGCCCGGATTACATCCCGTTATTCACTAACCTATGGGAGATCACAGGTAGTAGTCCATTTTCGAATTGGATCACCTGCTTGTGTCTGGACATGCGCCACACCGGTCATTCTTCACCTCACATAGTTTAAACGGGAGCTAAGTGATCGATAGCTGGTGACCGAGGGCCTGGTGCAGTGCCTACGGGTATAGAAAGCGGTATTTGGAAATTAAAAAAAAAACGAGGTAGGACGTAAACATTCTCTCGGGCTGTTCGCGGGTGATTTTCTTTTATCAGTCACTCGTTTAAGTGACATGCGGACGCTGATAACTGTAAAACTTCTCTAAACGGAGCTCGAACTGGGCTAATTCACCTTGTTTAGTCAACTGAATCAGTAACAGCCAGAGGTGTCACTCGTCGGGAAGGCAAATCGATATAACCGCGATTTGTTCGTGCCTGTTGAGAAAAGAGCCGAAGACGATCATAAGCATACTCGTGACTGTCCATTAAGGTGGGATGTCGCGAGACGGTCCCATGTCCCGATTCGAGAATAAAAACGAAAAAGCACTACAGAATGATCAGGCTTGAATAAACACGTCACATAGTTCAAGTGGACGTGGTCAAAAGTAACCCCTGAGTGGATTTGAAATCCATCACGCATTGGCAGGCACCGGATCCTTGGACCAAGCGATAAGTTACTTAAGCTTGTCACCTGCCAGTAAGGTCGGTCTCAGCGGCAAAATTCAAATAAGGCAAGTAGACAAAACCTTTGTCCAGGAGTCGTGAGAGATGACGGAAGGTCCTGTGCCATGGTATGCTGTGTCTTGATCGTACGTTGCCTGTCAGTGTCCTCAACGCACTTGACCTTGACCTGCGTTCAGAGCGATACAGGGGCCTCAGGTGCAGAAGCCCGCATTCCCACAGACAATGACGCAACAAAAAGCTAGGAGTCGCTTGGTGTATCGTCACTTCGACGCTCGTCGAAGAAGCGGGAGGCGCTGGGTAGCTGTATAATCTCTCGCGAGAGTGGCCAGAAATTCCGCATCTCACGATTGACCAAGTTAAGGTGTGACCTTTTGGTCCTCAATTGATCGCATCACAAATAATAAAAGGCCAAGGGACGAGGACGCCCGCGGGTTGCACTGAAGAGCATGCGTCACTGGAGTAGTATCGTTCATAAATTCAAAAGCGGTCCAAGTTCTCCCTAAGTGTAGAGGGGCAGACGGAGAGGAGAGTTCCAAGAGCGACATGCCGTCTATTGAAGCTGTGTTCCCAAGCTGAGTCCGGAACCGCAAAATGTTTTGGGTTGGACTGGATAGAACGCTAGCGGTTACAGTCAACCAGATTGGCTGTTTGGACGACCTTCGCTACACCGTACCCCCAAGTTAAGAGGCAGCATCGCCATTCCCATATGTATGTGGGATTGCTGCTCTTGTGGAGGAAATACACGATTGCCTTGACTGGTCACAAAACGGTGAGAACTTGCCTTGATACCACGTAATACCATTACCCTTAATTGAAGGCTCTGCTGTGTAACTGTTTACCTTTAAGCTTACCTGTCCCGCGGAGTGCAACCACACTAGCCAACCTATATGTGAATTGCCGCCGCAGTAAAGCGTCAAGTAGGATGCAAACGCAAGAGTAAGTTCTGGACGTAAAAGTCCGTTTTTTCGCGCTCGATATTACGGTAAACTAACGAAGCTGGCTGGGAATTTCACAAGAATATCGATATATAGTGGAGGCATACGATAACCCGACTGCCTTATACAACATTTCTGGCGATTCACTGTACCCATTTCTAGGGAAGAGTACAACCAAGCCCTGGAGCTGGATGGGGAAGGGAAATACTTTTTAAAGAATTGGATAATCAACTCACGCCCCAAATTCCACGCGATAATTTCGTCAAACAGGGAATTATGAACTGTGTGGCGTATTTAGAAAAGAAATCATGGAAGTCTCCATATGTTTGTGTCGCACTTGTTATTAAAGCATCGTGAGTTGATGTCTCGCCTTTATAGACACCCAAGCACTAAACTCCGGTGACACCGACAAGTTAGCTCACGCCAATTCACTCGAGATGAGGAGCTATCCAACGAACAGTGACACCTGTGACGGCTCATCCGCTCAAGGTAAGGTAAGGAACCACGTTTTGAAGAACCAAGACAGTTGATAACGCAAATTAGAATAGCTCGAAAACCACAACGATCAGTAAATTTGCTGTGCATGAGCATTGCTCCGGACAATGCCCAGCAGAAGGTCATCATGTGTACATGCGTGCGTTTACTGCCGCTGAAAGGTGGAAATCATAAATAGAGTCCTTCTGGTGTTCCTTCGTTCTTTCTGTATAGGACATTTTCCTTGGCTTTCTTGAAGTCTTCATGGGTGACTTTCATACGCCGTTCCCTGAGAGCCAGAAGACCGGCTTCCGTACAGATAGCCTAAACAAATATGAAGAGACGATTTGAATGCCAGCATAGGTTCAGCATTGTGTTCAAAAGAGCGGTGTAAACAGAATACTCGCAAATTGTGGGGATTACAGTCGGGCCGAATGCCGTCAACAACAAAAACCCATCAGTATGAGCCCGGAAGAGAGATGCAACATTTACAACAGCCACCGACCCCTGAATACATGAGCGCATTTCCAGTAAATTAGTGAATAAATAGCCACTACGCCCATGGTTTCGGGTGAAAAGGCGTTGCCCGATGACGATACTTAATTCAACGAAATACCCCCAAATGCCGTAAGCGCGGACATATATGACGTTGATTCCATAAATAAGGCTGCGATTGAATACTCTCTGGTGAAATGCCTGCTGGCAACTCGCCGGTGTGTATGCTGGTAATAATCAGCGCGCGAAGTAATATTGATAGGGCGTTTCTTACATGTGGAGCTTTTTGCAATCCAACCGGAACTCTGGCGGCGTTTTGAAGCCAATTGTAAAACAAGTGTAGATATTCATAGAGCTACTCTGTTGGAAATCTTTCAGCATGTCGTCGTCACGGATAACGACCGAGATGCAAGAAAAACTAGTGAATTGGTGATAATATTGGACGTAAATGACTTGAAGATTACGTCAAAGCTTAAGTGAAAGCTCCAGTTTGGTTGGCAAAAAACAAATTGAACATAACGCGCACAGGATTCCACCATCTTCAGGACCAGCTAAGAATATTGGTAATATGAGTTCAGAGAAGACTGAAGCAAGAAGCAAGCACAGTTGTGGTAGTCCCTAGTGGTCCCTACCACTCAGGACACTGATCTAGCCAAGTGCAAGTAGCAACACAATGTGAAATAATCACTAAGCTGTGGATCCTTTCGGTGCGCTGCTGCTGTGCAACTCTAAGGAGGCACGGAGACAATAAAAAAATCAGGATTGGAGTCAAACTATTCACACACTCGCGTTTTGACCACGGAGCTTGTAGCGGTTACCTCCTTGTTCCTTCAAACAGCTTCGCTTCCTGTCTAGTACATCCGTGCTCACTAGATCATGCGACCCCTTGGTTCGGCAAACACTCAAATCACGTGACAAAACCCTGTCCCGGTTGGAAACCAGACGGACAACAAGTCAGCTCCCGTCTTGCACCCGCGCGCGCGTAGAGGGGCAGGAAGTCAACCAAACTCCACAAGTTCAGAGACAATTACGGAACACTTGTAGCAGCTGTACTGTGGAGAAAACACGTTCCCCCGTGCGGACTTTCACCCAGGAACTTCCATGAGTTTTCCACAGACGATAGGTTTCCCTTCTGACTTGTAGTGCATTTATTTTTATACATGGTGCAACTCGCCACTGCAAACTACTATCCACTATGGTAACTATGGCTATCATAATCTGTGCACTAATAAGCTCGACTGGTCAGATACACACGCAACAGGTAACCTCGCGAACTATGAAAATCCACAGAAGAAAATGACTTACGACAACAGGTTTGGAGTATTTTCCCTCATTCCGATTCTCGAGGCTGTACTGAAAAGTGATTCTAGATTTTCGGAATCGGAGTTAAGGATCAAAGTCCGATATATTCGATTAATCAAAGTGTGAAGCAATGGTGTTCACCACCAGAGTCGCTGTCGACAAACAACCGGTTAAAGTTAGCACTACATCTAATTTGACTTCAGTGGTTAATTGTCATGAGTGATCCAGTGTGGGAGACACCAAGCCTGTTCGACGCTCCATTAGAAACGCCTGTAGGGTATGCTGTAGACGGGTGTGACGTACCGCTAAAGTACGAAGAACAATCCACTCTCGTTAACTAGGAATCAAGAACAAGAGTTCCAGAAAGTCCACCGTTTAGCATGCGTCTTGCGTTCAAAGTGTAAATTTAGGCTCAATAATGGTGTATGAATAAAACGTTACTGATAAACTGGGGCTTTTGAGGCGCTTTAAAAATCCCGGGTGTTTTGTAGTAGCCCTGGTATTTTGAAAAACGAAGTTACAGCAAAGAGCTGTTCGCCAAACTGCGTCAGTGTTACGTCCATTTTACAAACGAATAGTGGGCCCTGAGTATCTTGCCAAGAGCTCTTACCACTAAATTAATGTTGCGTACGAAGCCCAACGCGTAAGTGATGACAGCCAAGAGAGAGCTAGGTGGAAACAAAACGATACGTCCTGTATAAAGCAAACGTGACCAGGTTGCACTTCTCGTAGTAGGGCATATTCGGATGGAATCAGTACGACTACCAAGGCGTTCATAACTGCCAGTTCAAAGCTGGAAGCATCGCAGTCAACCACTGACACATCATCAACGTCATTGGGAGCTGTTCATTAGCAAATATGAACTAAGCGGTCACAAGCCATTCGATACGAAAGTAAACATCTCATCTGCACAGTGTTTCTGGGGTCTTTTGGAACTTTCCTAGACGTTCATTGAGTATTAAACAAAAATAAACCAACACTGCAGTGGTTCCATAATTTGTATAAAGATCTTCACCTTCCATCCGATGCGGGGTGCGGAGCTTGGACATCAGACCATAGACTACTTGCGTGCTTCGTCAGCAGTATAGAGCGCTTCATAAATACCGCAAAGTTTGCACTAGCTTAGGCGAGACAAATTCTCGAATGCCCGAATGATCCCACCTGTGGTAACGAAAAGGAATCTCAGTGGGTCCTGAGTGATGTGTGGATAAAGCTACACTGCGGCTGCAAGCCAATTCGGGCGAAGAATCGGAGACATGTTTAGGTCTATGACCACGGACGTCTCAGAACTACAGCTGGAATCGGCTAAAAACCAGTGAATTCGCATGAGGAATTTAGTGAAGCATGAATTTCTTTTCTAAAAATTGCATCCCGTATTGCAAGCTAAGGTGGTTGGACCATATGTTACGAATACCAAGTTACCGCCTACTGAGAAGAGTGCTGTTTTCTGTGCCTAATTCAAAGTGGCGAAAACCCAGAGGTGAACGAAATTTGATGTGGCGGGAGGAAAGGAAAGTTGTTATGAAAAAACTGGGCACTGTTCATCTCGCAAAATTGGGCCCACATGCGCCACTCTGTGTTCGGCTGGAAACATTGCACTACATGACAGCTAACCGATGTCAGTGGCGTTCATGCTATCAGTTTCCGTCCAGACTGGCTGAATGTTGGAGGTATGGGCACTTCGGATGCTTGTTGTAGCCCAGCCCTAGATCCTCTTGCCCGTCACATTTCTTTCTTCGATTGTAATGCCTTATTCAAACTGACTGGCGCGAGTGAATGGCATTCGAGTACCAGTGCTCTCATCTAGTTTTGCTGATAATGAAGAGGAAGCTGGATGTTCAGTGCTGCTCGATGTAGCGAGTGAATAAAATTAGCGTCGTAAACAAGACCAGGGCTTCCAAGTTGTAAAACAATTACTCTCATCGCGGCTAGACTGAGAAAAAGGGTCTTTCGCAATCCACAAGGTATCCAGTCAACCTACAAACAAAAGCTGGATCAGTTCGACAAATGCTACACTACAGTAATGCGACATCAACCTCCGATATCCTATATCACAATATGACATCTTGTAGAGACTTAAGCCTACATCGAATACTAACGCTACAAGCTGTCAAACAGTCAGACAAACCTGTCTGAGAACGACGGAGCAAAAGAGGCATGAATTATCGTTCAGCTGTAGCACCTGTTCGGTGCCAGGTTGCTCAACCTTAGACAGGGGAAATCGAGAGGTTCGAACTACGAATGTTACGGACAGTGAATTCGCGCTCTAACCACTGAGCCATCTCGCCCTCCCCTGCATAAATAATTCTCTCCAAAAAAAAACAAATGAGGTTTAGAAGCTGGAACGTCACCCAGCCATCATACTGCAAACACAAGTTTAACCAGTAAATCGACTTTCACTGCGCAAGTGCAGTCCAGTCAGGAATCAGAACAAACCTGGAGTGGACCCACCCCGAAGCACTAAAGATCAGTAAACACGAAAGATGTGGCGATTGTAGTGAAGGGGTCTACGGGTTTTCTTGATTTTATCCGTCCGGACTTTTACCAAGGGACTCTCACATACGCTCCCATTTCGCACTGTATTTGTTTTTATACGTATCGCAACCATGCTAAAAACAATTATTAGTGCACAGCTGGCGATAGCCATAATACAAATCAGATGGTGTATGTGCACTAATAGAAGTTTTTAGCATAGTTGCGATACGTATAAAAATAAATACAATGCGAAATGGGAGCGAGTCAAAAGGGAACTTATCGTATGTGAGAGTCCCTTGGTAAAAAGTCCGGACGGTGGGAACGTGTTTTCTTCGCAGTACGGCTGCTACACGTGTTCTATGATTGTCCGTGGACTTGGAGTGCTTGGCTGACTCCTTGCTCCCTGCGCGCGCGCGAGTCTGTGTGTCCTGACTGGGTTCGGTTTTCCTTTACGTAGATCGCAGTGCGTATACGTGGGCGCGTCGGCACATGAGTGGTTGCTACACTGACTAGGCCGTGCAGACAATCGATGTCCGATGAGTCAGCTTAATGCGACGTGTTTGTGTATATGGGAAAAAAACACAAGCCTCGCGATCCAGTGAGCGACTGTGAGTTTAACAGTCAAGTATGTGGGTGACTGGGGCGCTACACATACAGCAAACCCAAAAGCCGTTTGCTGAATTCGTGGTCATTTCTTATTTGTCATGCGTCAACTTGGTCCAACTAAGTAACACGCTTAGCTCAAGCACAGCTTTCCTGGGACCCGAAGGAAGCGGTCGAGCTAAGACAGTATCAGGGTGCGAAAGCTCCGAAAAAAGACGCCTGAGAAAGCATCTTAAAGATCGAAATATGCACCACACAACTGGTTGCTCACATCCCAGCACTTGAGCTACCAGACTTCGAAATTTTTACGCTCAAGCCCACAGCAGTAACTGAGGTCTGGTTCCACTCTCAGTTTCGCGTACTTATGCAGAATGTGCGCCGGTGGACTTTTGGAAAGTGGAATTTACCTTGATATCGGCTCCAGACAACTCGTCCTTCGATGTTACGTATTCTTCCAAGTTGACATCCTCAGCTAGAGTCATCCGGCTGGTGTGGATATTGAATATACGTCTTTTTGTTTTCTCATCGGGAAGTGGGAACTCAATTTTTCTGTCAATCCGACCTGGTCGAATTAGGGCAGGATCTAAGGTCTCGATCCGATTAGTTGCCATGATCACTTTAACGTCTCCACGAGAATCGAATCCGTCCAGCTGGTTGAGCAGCTCTAACATAGTACGCTGGATTTCACGCTCTCCACCTGAATTAGATTCGTACCTACAAAGTATCACAAAGGACAGTACAAGGGTAAAGTGGATTACAGCGAGTGAAACGAAGATGTCTACTAAACGGAAGCAAAATGCTTTTGGGCCACCCAACGAAATATAGATAAAAAATAAATCGTTCAGCTGTAACACCTTTCCGGCGCCTAGCTGTCATGCCACTCGAAGGAAGCACGAGGGCTGGGATACTGTCAGACTGCCCAAGCCTAGACGGAGGGAGTCGAGAGGCAGGGGTAGGGTTCGGACCGCGCACCTTCCGGTCAGTACATTCGCACTCCAACCAGTTGAGTCATCTCTCAAAAGGAATGGGTTCGAAAGTTTGACACAAACGTGATCAAAGTTATGCGACAAAGCCTCAACTGTCCACGTTCCTGGTCTCAACAAGTGCTCAAGACTGTCACTGACAGGCACAGTGAAGTTTGAAAGTCCGCACAGCAAACAACGACGAACGAAATTTTGGCTCGGTAGTGTGGGTTTCCGGTGTCCCTTCCGAGGACACTCGTGATTGTAGCTGACGGTGCGATTACACACAAATTAGGAGAGAACATGTCGGGGAAGGCTCAGCAAACGGGGCACGAACTCGAATGCGCAATTAGGTCAGCGGCGCACATTCACACACATACACATGCAGATATACTAGTACTGGACAAGATAGCTTTTACGGCAAGGTGAATGCTGGTTACAGATGGACAAAACAAGTACATGGACGGAGTAAGCAAACGAATGGAAGACTTATCAGGGGGTCAAATCCAATTCACATGAATAAAGAACAATGGCCTGATGAGAACGCAAAACCATGAGCTGACCGGAAACTGTGGAACAATGAGGAACTGACAGTCATAAGGACGATTCAAAATGATGTGATCAGGTGCTCATGAAAAGGACACCGCAATGGGAAATGGTGGCGTTAACTACTTGGTTTATTTACTAATTTAACTTCCTTCCCCACAACAGGTTCGCTTTGATGACCGCACCTAAAGTTCTTCATGGGTGGCTTTTCTACAGGAGTTGAGCATCAGAAATTTATCTAAACGCTATTTTCAACGCACCTAGCACAGAAATGGAGGTAGAATATTTGGAACTATAGACTTAAGAGCAGTTTCTCAATATCCCCGACCTGAAGCTGCCACCTTGTCGTGGTGATCGGGTTTCTGTACTGCAATGGTCCACAGGCTATATTGGCTGGAACTCAGTCCGTGAGGGTTCAGCCATGCCAGGAAGGCCAACGGGGAGCAGCCCGACGAAGAATAGCGAGTTCCAGCACCACGAGTATAACGATGCGCTCTGGAGGTAAATTCGTACTGTTCTCTGTGACGAGTGTGAAGGCAATAAGGTGTTTCCTCCAGAGGACCAGCAGCGATCCTGCCTTCCCCCGAGGAAGGACGGGTTAGAACAGGTCGACCCAAAAGCCGCAAACTCCGATCGCCCACGGTTGACCGTGACCACCGGCGCATTATTCAATACGGTCGAAATACTTTTAAAACCAGAGTCCGGTGCTTCTCACAAGGCACCTGCTGTTCACAGCTGCACTAAGAGTGAGACAGTAAAGCCCAACTTCCTGCACCCCCGATTGTGCGCTGTGCGGTTGTCTGGCTCAATTAAGATTAACAGGTCGATGCGGTAAACGGTGTGTGTTTGTAGTATCAGCATACACCACAACAGGTAGCAGTTCTGAGGCTGAGAAGGATGGGCTTTATCAAGATCTGTCACGATTGCTTCGGTCAGCAAGGACGGATATAGTAATCCTGAGGGTGATGTGAATGCCCACGTTGAACGATGAAGTCCAGAAGAGGCACAGTTAGATAGCGGATTTGGAGTCGATGCTAGGAGTATGAATAAAGGGGAGCGGCCTCTCCAGTTGTGTGCAGATCATCGTCTGTTCCTGGACAGTATGAACTTCAACACAAAGGCACTCACCTAGCACTTAGCACAAGACAGTCGTGGACTGAGTTAGACCATATGGCTATCAGTTGCCGATGGAGAGCCTCAGTTAAAGGTCGTCATTCCTTCTGGTGTACTGATCACGCTATCGTGCGAGCGCGCTTAGTACTTCGCTTTCCTCCAGCACTACGTGTACCGAAAGAGAGCAGCTCTGTTCATCAACTTTGACAATTTTCAGTGGTTGAAGAGCTGATATGGCTAGTAAACTACTGGAAATGTACAATCACGAGAAAGACGATAGTTTCTAGGAGGTCGAATGTAGGCGAGTTAAGGATGCAATGCTCTCAGTTTTCAGAGCAGTTTTTCAGCCCATCTGATTCGAATAAATGAACACTGGATACCTTCGCGATCAACAGATCTTATTGCTGCCAGAAAGGCCACACCAGCAACTAGCGACTATGATGGTGGACGCAGATCCCTGAAACACCGGATAATCAGGAGCTTGAAGAATGACGAAGAACGCTGGTGAATTTCGAAGGCCCAGGAAATGGAGAAGGCTTTCGCTGAAGGCAACAGCCGCACTCTGTTTCAACCGATTCGATCGAAGGGTCAAAAGAAGACAGGTAACAGTGAGACACTATGCGCAAGAGAAGGAGGAGCGATTCACTCCCTCAAAGGCCATTCTGAGTGGTGGGCTGACCACTTCAAAAAACAATTCACTTGCCTCCTTCAACACAACTGCTGGAAGGACCAGGAGGTCCCGAATGGAACATTGATACCAACCCACCATCAGCAACCGAAATTCAACGTGATATTTCAATCCTGAAGCGCGACAAGGCACCTGTTCCCGATGGTCTACACCCCGCGCTCTTCAAAGGTGGTGAGGTCCTGGTGTACACTCTGACAACCATACTGCAGAAGATTTGAAAATTCGTATGCGTACAGCATGCGTGGGTGGAGTATTGGTAACACGCTCGTCTCGCATGTCAGATGTCCGGAGTTCAAATCTCGGCACGACCTTTGGATATGTACTGTTGATGAGCTCTAATAAGAGCGAACCTCGAGTCCAGTGCTTCCGTTTGGTGTGGATTCACCGGGATCATTACGCCCAAATGGGAGGACGACCGTTCAAATGAGTGGTGTGCATGTGAAAGAAAAAGAATATCAGTCGAATGGAGTTCTTCGACCGTCATCTCAATTTCTTAAAGGGGAGCAAGAACGTCGTATGAAAACCATCGTGGTATCAGCCTGGTATTCGTGGCATCTAATTTGTCCTCTGGCGTTATTTTTTACAGGTTGACGGGTTACCGGGAGAGATAGACTGGCTGGGATCAAACCCACACCTCATGTTTGCAGGTGAGCCAATCCGTGGTAGATAAATTTGTCTACATGGACAGCTGTATAAGTTCCGGTGGACCGGCTGGAGATGAGATTATTTCTCGCATCGGAGGCCAGGGCAGCTTTTGCTAGCCTGCAACACCTATGACGCCGGCGTGACGTGAGCTTGTTTGTCAAGGGAAGAGTTTACACTGCGGTAGTGCGATCCATACTGCTTTATGAAACAGAGACGTGGTCTCTACGCGCAGAGGACATACTGAAGATGTCAGTGTTTTATCATCGGTGTCTTTGAAACATTGTCAAGTCTGGTGGGAACATCGGATTAGTAATGCTGAGGTACGCCAGATGGTCTTACGAAGAAGGAACTCTCCCTCACCGAATGAATTACTCACGCTTCATAGGTTGCGCTGGTTGGGTCATGTACTCTGCATGCCAGAAGACCGTCTGCCTCAGGGCTCTTTTCGCCCAGCCCTTTGCTGAGTGGAAGCGAGCGAGAGGCGGACACTGTATTACCCGACAATGAGGTACGGAAACACTTATCAGTAAACTTAATCGGATAAGAAACTGCCGCCTCCCTGCATGGGGACTCCGGGACTCAAATCACTAATGGTTAATGACATTGGCAGAAATGGCCCAATCGGGCGGTCAGTGGCGTTCATGCATCAAAGTTATCACCTTCAATGTGTAGCTACCCAATTTCCAAGAGATCTGAAGAGGCCTTCGCCTCCAATGCTTGGTTGTATATTCCACTTCCCGTTTTCCGGTGATGGGAACTGCAGCAGTTTTAACCAATGTGCCTATGGTACACGGTTCATAGCTGATAGATAGAAATGAATGTTCCAATATCCATGTGATAAAGTTCCACATAAAAGGACATTCACGAGACGAAACAGGAATTAGTGAGCAATCAATTTTCGAACATCACTAGAGTAAACGCGAAGATTAATAGCATCGGGACAAGGACACTGCTTCGGATGGGCGAACCAGGCGTGAGACCGAAATTACACCGTATCCACATGCTCCTGTGCGTCATAGATACTCCATAAGATTAATTTCGCCGTTAAAATGAATGGAAGAGAGGTGGAAAACGTATACTTGTATAATTGCACGAATGGTTGAATTCATGTGATGATATTTCACCAAGTGATGTCCAAAGAAGATCGAGACTTTACAACTTACCTTTTAATTCCAACTGCATCGATTTCGTCGATGAAAACAATGCTCGGAGCGTTCTCCTCTGCTAGACGGAACAGTTCACGAACAAGTTTCGGACCATCACCCAGAAATTTTTGAATCAATTCGGAACCAACAACGCGGAGGAAGGTAGCAGAAGTTTGGTTCGCGACTGCTTTTGCTAGAAGTGTTTTGCCTAAGATAGAAAACGTAGACTATTTTGATCCTTGGTTGCACTACCAGAATGTGGGAAAACAAGACTGTTCTGATACAGAAATCACGTAGCTAGTATGGACTAAGATTACAGGCTCACTCAGTCACAAGCACCGTGCATCCCAAATTCTGAAGCCGAAATAAAATACACGACTTGCAGTTCGGAGCTGACCAAATTTTCAGAATATCCACTTCAAGAAACAGTTGGAATCAGTCTCTTCTGTGTATATGGGGCGGGGTGGGTAGAAATCGAATGCACCTCAAAGAATGTAGCAGAAAGTTAGCCCAAAACACGCACAACTTATCACAACAATTGATATTGGACTGAATGCTGCGAACGTACCAGGTTTGTTGATAGGCCGCACGTTGTCTAGCGACTTAAGCTGATCCAGGAATTGGTACTGAAAAGAAGAGCCACTCTCTGTTTTCCGTGCGTCTCATATCCAACCCAAGAGGACCACCAGTTGGGCAGCGCCTAGTCTACCTACTTGAGCGTTCATGTCACCACCACAACGGTCTGAGCTTTTAGCCGATCGGAAAAGAACATCACTCTTGGCAGATTCACGGCTACAGTCCATCGGAGCATAAGCACAGGTAATAAACGGGGGGCAATAGACCTCAAGTTCTCGAGGTCATCTCACAGATGTTGCCAAGCGAGCAGCGCGGAGGCAACTGTCAATGGGTACCCTGTAAAATAGGGACGCTTCCGCGAGATCATTAAACACAAAACTTACCCCCCAGCATATCAATTTCAGAGGCTTCCGCATCACCAGAGATACGCAACTGGAACCTGGGAAAGATCGAGGGGACAAATGATCCTATTACCGAAATTGAGTACTGCGGCCTTGTTTCTGACAGATAGCACACACCAATGCAGAGAAAATCCAGCGTGCGAACAAGGGCCACTTGCTTGCTTCAGTGTGCGCACATTAAAGACAGCTAAGTATACCTGCCTTCAGGGTTTCAAAACAGGCTTCAAAGTGTTCACTGAAGTGGAACACAGTTTTTGCAGCTGAGTGTGATGCATGGCTAACAAAGCCCTACTGCTGGGACCTTCGGAGATAGCACTCTAATTGGGGTGGAGTGATGTACAGGAGAGTATATATAAAAATGTAATAGGGACGCGAGCTGTAGTATGTTTTTGCTTACCCGCCCTGCTGAACGCAACAAGCAAAGTGACCCGGCTGACGACACCATGCGATGGCGGACGTGGNATGTTTTTGCTTACCCGCCCTGCTGAACGCAACAAGCAAGGTGACCCGGCTGACGACACCATGCGATGGCGGACGTGGCATGATAGTTTTGTTTGTGGCGTTCATGGTTATATGCGGGTTAGGATATTTTCAGAGCACCCACATCTAGACGGAACGATTAGGGTCCTCAACCAAAGCCTAGGCTCAAACGTCTGGCCACTAGGCAACGGGCGGATGCCGGCACACTATTACACTTGTACAAGTCTTTAAGGAAGTTGCCATGACTGTGCCAATCCCCAACCTGGGGGAGCACGAAAGTTTATTCTTCAGGCCTCTATTCACTGACCAGCCTGGTATGAGGGGTGAGATGGCCCAGGTGGATAGAGCGCGAATTTATTGACCAGAAGGTCCGTGGTTCGAACCCGACCTCTGCCTCCCGACTTCCCCTGTCTAGGCTTCGGTAACCTGGCAGTATCCCAGCCCTCGTGCAACCTTCGAGTGGCATGGCAGTTAGAATCCGAAAGGGTGCTAGAACTGAACGAGTTTTTTTTAGGAATGAACTCTGCGGTGAGAAACTCAAATCCCAGCGTAGCTAAGCGGGTCACCGAGGCACACAAAACGCCACACAGCGATAGGGTTTAATTTCTTTGCAGCTTGTAGCACCACGTATAAAGCACAAGGATGAGCATAACGGGTGAAACTAGGTGGATGCGAGTAATCGGGAGGCGATCGACAGTGACCTGATGAGTTGGGCGGACGAACCAAAAGTGAAGAAATTGGGATGGGTAAGTAAATAATATATTGACGGTTTTACAAAGCCACCGCAGTGCTCTGAGACTCAGTTGTAAAATGAGAGTCACGAAAAGTTCGACCTTACGACCTGTTAAGTCAGGTGAACGAGCCAATCAGAAGTCTACCTTTTTATGTTGAAGTCAACGAAAATGCACAGTCAAGCGGCCTGAATGAAACATGGCTTTGCGATTATCATTCAGTAGGAGGAACAGTTCGAGCACAATATTGTCACTGAAGCCGATAAAAAATGATTGCGGTTTTCTGGAAGGTTAAATTTCGACCACACAAAGTGTCATCATCATCATCATCATCATCATCATCATCGACAGCATGACATCAGTGGTCAACACCGATGCTTCACTGCCGTACAACCATGACTTATTTGAAAGCCTTATTGTAAAGAAAAGAGTAAAGGTGGACGGGGGAGGGACTTAGTGCCAGCTTAACACAATCATTCCGAGGTGCCTACACCTCCAGACATTCACTCGGGCAATCTGGATAGAAACTGAAAACAACAAGAACGCCACTGACATCGGTTGGCAGCCATATCTTGTAGTGTCTCCAACCAGGCACAATGAGGATCACGCGGTCCCCATCCTGGAAGGCGAGTAGCACCGACAGCACCCAAGCGTTTCGTAATCTCCTTCATACTCGTCTGCCAAGTCAAGGGTTGGCCACCTCTCTGTTTACGCCACTCTGAGTTGGGCATGGAAAACAGCACTCCTTTCGGCAAACGATGGTTCGGCATACGTAACACATGTCCCAACCAACGCAGCTTCTGGTGCTGGACACATTCTTCAATGGAAGTACCCGTTACACAACCGAAAACGCGCTTTCTAACTGCCTCGTTACGGAACCAGTGCCCACTAATCTGATTCCAAAACCATGAATAAGGGCTTTATCCTGATATAGTCACTTCTGTCCCAAAAGGAACGACCGAATGTGACAGCACTCGATGAGGAAATCTGCTCATCTCACGATCCGACGAAAGAGGCGAACCTTTGCGTCTATGTGACAAGCTGGAGAAGTACCCGTACACAACCGAAAACGCGCTTTCTAACTGCCTCGTTACGGAACCAGTGCCCACTAATCTGATTCCAAAACCATGAATAAGGGCTTTATCCTGATATAGTCACTTCTGTCCCAAAAGGAACGACCGAATGTGACAGCACTCGATGAGGAAATCTGCTCATCTCACGATCCGACGAAAGAGGCGAACCTTTGCGTCTATGTGACAAGCTGGAAGAGGTGTGGACGCTGTACCAGAAGCTGGTCGCAAGCACAATCTTTTGAAGACTTTCCACGAGGACCATTGTGATAAGCTGTAGAAGTGTTCCGACACCCGCTAAGCAGAGTTGTTGTTTGAACCCGTGACCTGAAACCAGAATTCCACTCCCGAATTCCTATCTAGTCTAACACTAACCAAGAGCACTATGGATGAAGATGAAGCAGACAACTGATCCCTTACTCTGACTTACGAGACTTGTATCAGAAACGAGCACTTACCCGTTCCGGGTGCGCCATAGAGAATAACGCCTTTGGGGGGTTTAATGCCCATTTCCTCGTACAGTTCTGGATGGGTTAATGGGAGCTCCACAGATTCCTTGATCTCTTGAATTTGCGCCTCTAGTCCGCCGATATCTGCATAGGTTTCTTGTGGTGCTTTTTCAAGCTTCATTACAGTCACCATGGGATCAACCTCGTCAGTTAGGACGCCTACCACCGCGTGCACCTTAGGATAAAGTAATCACATGAAGGAGAGCAAACCTTGTAATTCAAAAGCACAGAGCAACCAGGTTCTAGGATACCCTTGTCAACGAAGGAAAGAATGCTGACGTAGTGCTCACTTCCAACGGAAGTGGAAACCACCACGTGGTTGTCGTCAATAATTTCCTCTAATGTTCCGACAGACATCGGTGTACCCCTTAGGTCATCCACTTTCGACCTCTCTTCCTAAGAATAACAGTTACACAACACGAATTTTATACTTCATGGCGTTCTTCATCTGTTTTCAACCGTTCTTGATTCTTTATGAACTCTTCTTCCATTAACAAATAATCTTTTATACGCTCCATTTTTAGAAGCCGGAGCTTGCATCGTGTGTGCGGGGTGACCTGGGGCAACTTGCTCGCACTGTCTGGCCCTTTAGAGCGCTTGTGTTTTCCCATGCGAGTGGGAACGGGTGGATCGTACTCCCTGCGTTTGCTCTGAACAAGTTTATTATTGAGGGATATCAAAATACTTTATCATCTTTCTTCCCACTTTCTTGGTTGGACTGTCTCTGACCCTACAAAAGAGTTCAATATAGTCAGAGGACCAACCTACCATTTTTAGCCCGACCTTGAAACTAAGGGATATTTCAAAGCACGCGCTTTTTTGTGCGGTCATTTTTTAACGGCAGTTGTACAGGGCGGCAATAAATAAGGAGAGCAAAAAACAACATGATAAAAGGAATTATCTTATATCTTTCGTTTGGAGATGCGAGTGATCCTATGGGTGGCTCAAGGCTGAGCAACTTTTCGACTCAGTTTCAATTACCACGTGTTCGCGCCCGGTTGCAGAACTTTTGCTGATGGAAGTGTGGCAACGCCGGAGACATATTTGACTCAAGGCACGGAAGTGTTCTGATATCTAGGGGTACCACCGAGGTGCATGAAGCGCGTTCGCCTAACCAATGTTAAGTTGAAGCTCATGACGTGGTTCTTCTTCCCACAGAGGGCGACAGGCATAATCGTGGCGAATTTTCTGTACTCCCGCAAAGAACAGGGCCTGGGCTTTGAGCGGACACCCCGTTCGAGTGTGAGATGAAACAACTCATTGACCAGCGTTCGGGATGCTTCTACCTGCTGCGGTAGTGCTCTCAACCAATACAGGAGGATACGTCAGATTATCTTGAGCAGACTCCGCGGGATTGGCCTTTTCAGGGCGATGGGGTGGCTTGGACGCCAAATGGAAAATGTCAGGTAGATGCTGTGGGTTACAAAAGAGACACCTGATGTTGACTTTCGTTCCAGGTTGTGGCTATGACATTCGACAATTTTGGATCTGTGTGGGCATTCTGTGCAGAGCAACGACCCAAACCGGGTTCAATGAGTCTGGCCACATAGGACAAGCGGCTATCATGATACGGTTTAAATTATCGTTGCAGCTAGCTCCAGGCTGCAATTCACTCTTGTGGATTCCAACTTTAATTAATGGGAGATGAAATGAAGCCACAAAGCGGTCCTAATTTTGCACACACTGACAGATGTCCGTTCGCTGTCACCAGCATTAACTAGATGCACCAATCTAGGATCTCGGAACGGCAACGATATAGATTCTTCCAGCATTCGCCCACTTCCGACAGAGAAGTGCATTTTGACTCGTTCACCATTATCATTTTTACCCTCGTATTTGGAGCCTCCAGTTTTGATATATTTATTTGTGTTAAGCCGTGGTTTCTCGTAGCATTTTAAAACTATGCCCTTGGATTTCAAATATTTTGGACGATTATAATGCAGACGATCATGATTATGAGATTGGGGCTACTATTTTTGCGTTCTACTGAATTCTTTACTCCGTCATCCCCACTATTGCTATTTATGACCCTGACCATAAACCCAACAGTCAGAAGCCGAATAGGCCTTATCAATGGCTTTAGACTTTAGTTCATATTGACGCGGCAGACCAGGACGATCCAGCCACGGCACCAGGTTTGTGGTTCTGGTTCATCATTTTTCGCATCCTGAAACGAGCACGATGTCTCTTTCGCCCCTTCTCTGGTTTCGTACACCACCTGCAAACATTAACGATCTTATCTTGTCTCAGAAATGCTCAGTATTCAAACGATGGAACTGAATTTTCGAAAGCTACGACGTGTCCCTGATGGACTAGGAGGGACATGCAATTGAGTTCAGGATACGAGTATAAACTTTTGAGCCCCGTCTAGGCATCGCAGAAAAGCATTCCACCGAACTTTTCCGCCAGTGGTAAGATTGCTTCAGTGATAATGAAATTTTTGGTGAGCTGAGTAAATGTGAATGTAGATCAGGATAATCTTTGGTATGAGCACATACACAACAAAGTGGTGCATTTTGGCGCAAAAGTTTTATTTCAATCCCAAACGTTTCGCAACCAAAAGCATTGTGTGGCTAATGGCACCGTCTCGACTTGATATACTCCCCGCCATAAAGAGTAAAGTGAACTGGCAACTGTGTCTTCTTTCCCATTCGGTTTAGGCGTAGTCAAGTCCACATCAGTTATTGCCCACTACTTATGACATTGTACTTTTTCGCGCAATCCCCATCACCCACATAACCCTGGTCGCGCTCTATTCTGACTGTAACCGTATGACCATGCCAAACGGTTGCCACTTACTAGTTGGGAATAGGCATTCTTATGACTACTTCTAAATCCGACTCGGCTTGTTCTCGCGTTTGATCCCCTGTGTCAGGTGACCAGCAACTTGGGTGTTGGGTGGAGAGCTGCCTCCACACATTGTAATTTTTCCCCAGAAAGCTGTACACACCGATGGAAATGCTGTACACCTGTGCTCCCGATCGACTCTCCGTGCCACGAAATGCCGAGTAATATAAATGCGGAGCGGTAAGTCCGTCACATGTGCTTCACGGGTTCACGGATTGATAAACACGATCGAGGCTTTTGCCCAAGTTTCCCGGGTCAGTTTTTTTGTCTTTCAGAGGCTGTCGTTCACCTGAAAGGCACAAGTGAAGAAAAGAGTGAAGCACTGCTCTTTGTGCTCTCAGCGCGGGGCGGTATGCATGCCAGTACCAGGATTCGCCTAAATGTGCCCAAGGGTTCTTTGAACCGGGCTCTAGAAGGAGCGCGGAGAACAATCGGGGGATGGTCGGCAGGCCTCACTGCTTGTGCCCGCATATCTGACTCAGTCCAGTTCAGAAGCTGTGCCTTTGGTGAGGAGTTCACTGCTGCACCTTTGTCGCCTGTCACGGACAGAAGCGCCGATATCTTCACGTTCTTTGGGCGCTACTTCAACGTGAGGCTTGCCTCTTCCAGAGCAATTCTGCCTTTGGCGGACGAGGGGCCTGTGTTGGCCGAATAGAACCTGCTGTTCGGAGACGCAGCCGGTTGTGTCGGATGCTTTTGGGAGCACAAGGGTCTATGACTAAAATCAGTATGGCCATGAATTTGGGGGCGGCTGAACTGGCACCAAGTGGAAGCCTGTTACGCACCCTCTAACCTAGAACTTCTGTGACCCAGCTTTCGTGCCTCTTGAGGGTGATCCTCAGATAGACGTCTGATCATTTGAATGCTGTCAGCCCGCTCCGCGATCTTCTGTACGGCAGATGGGGAGGAAAGTGTGACTAGAAGCCCAAGTGTTTGCTTGCTTCCCTTCTGGTGTAACCATTGTGCGTGAAGCGATTGGTGATCAGGCTTAGTGAAGACACTACTAAGAAGCGACTGTGGCCTTTCCGTTGTCGGGATTCTTCTGGAGAATGACCCCTAGACTATCAATCTGGTCCCCCTCAGGCGCCTGCCCACCAGAGACGCTGTGGCGGTCTTTACTGCTTCGTCAGAAGGCTGATGGCTTTTCTCGCGGCCGGCGGACCCGGGATGGACGGCGTGAGGTACTCGTTCAGCGAAGAAACTTTCTTTATCAACTTGTGTTCAGGTCACTGCATTCTTTGTGTTTGCATACTCTAGTGCTTTAGAAAGGGGCTCCAGTTTCCCGTCAAGTATCCTGGTCAAAGCGGAACACTCACATTGGTCCTTTTGATTCAGCAATGGGGACTGGGTTTCGTTTTTGTTTGCCTTCTTAGCTGCGACATGCATTGCACCCTTAATGTAAAGACACCTAGCGCAGACAAACGGGTCGGAAGAGTTAGCATATTGGCTTACTTGATCGTCCTGTAAACCAGTGCAATTGAAATGCCACCTGGTCTTGCTGGTGTGGCATTGCATGCCGTGTTTTACGTTTGACTGGCAGCCAGTTCGGCCGCATATGTTATGGTCTATTGATGGTTGCAGGGCGGCCTGTATAAATCTATGTCACGGTTAAGACTGGACGTGGAAATAGTAAGTTAGCGCAAAATAACGAGTGTTATCCCTTAAATGTTATGGCAAAGTGATCAAATTCAACAATCGCTCGTGTGTACTACGTGAATAGCTCGAACAGCGATGAAATTATTCCACTTATTCGCACGTGAGACAGACGAAACCGATTTTGAACGTTCTGCGCAAGGTCGCCCAAAGAAAAGTTAAGAAAATCAGTGTGTTGAGCTGAAACTCATCCAATGGCACCGCATCTGCGTAGGCATATACCAAATGGAAACGTTGCCGGTGTGCTCCACGGAACGCTTGCAGGAGAGGGTCGTCCAAGGAATAAGAAATGATCTAAAATAAAGATAGCTAACCAGGCAGGCGATAAAAATTTTGCACCTAACTGCACGCCAGTTATCTTTAATATGCCTAGGGGACTGGATACTAGGGATGTAGTGGAGAACAGGAGCTAGCGAGCAGATCACTGAAGATCTCTTTCAAAAAATATCGAGATGACAGGACGGTGGAGGTAACACTGAATCTTCTCGTTTGGACATAAGAATCGTTTTCCTTCTGGCGACCCATCTATAGCTGGGGGACACGTGATCCCAACTCACCTCGATTTTTCAAGGCGGGCACGGGCCTTCCTAATATTGTGGATAAAAATAAGCGAGTGTTGACTAAGATGCATGCTTAGTGATATCCCCAGTAGATCTCCGCGTGCATCACTTATGTTGCCAATTTTCATGGACGGACGCGCGGAAAAACGGTCCATGATATGGCATTGCGAGCGTGCAGGAAATCATCAGGAGTATAACATCAGGGCGGTTTTCATGGCGTTCATAGGTCACCCCTGAAGTGTGATCTATAGATGCATCCATTTAAACGCTACAGTCTATTGAATACAGTAGAAGACAGTTTGAGAAATCTGGCCAACTGGTAGGGTAAAACCAGATTCTAAACTTTGGGATATGTATCACCTGTGGTTCAAAGTACGGATTGCGGTGGCAGGCCACTGCCGTTTATCATGGGGCCCTCAGTATGCATGATTCTTGACGTGATATCCAGACGGTCCAGCATCATCACAACTGTATGGGTTGTCGCGCCACTATGCAAATGCCTAGAAACTATAAAAACGAATTAGGAAAACGTAACTAATCATCAAATGGAGTGATAAAACCGTAATGAGTAGTAGCTAAATTTTTTTCCGTAAACTGCATTCACTCGGCGATAGATTTGGAATGAAAATGTATACACTTCTCAATCTACCTCATACCTTCTGCGAAATGTTTTAGAATTCTTACTGTTATAATGGTAAACCGCCCGCTTATTTAGTCTCACCGTCGACGATGAAAATTTCGTATGTGCCCCAATGTTGCAATATCAATATTCAGATTCATATGCACCGCTGGACGCAACAAAGTTAATGCTAAAGTGATGTGCACATAGGTCAGTCGTAAGATCACTCCATTTCTGCCTCCTTATAAAGTTACCACATCTTTACGGGAACAACAGCCCGTTGTCTTCACCGTAAATCCTAACCATTCTAAGCTCAATCGCCTACTTAATCGCAATCCCATCCTCTCACTAAATGGGTTCTTTCTGAGAAACCAACTATCGGCTGTCGTGCTTGTGTTTGTAAACCCTACACATAAGGAACATATAACACGCTGAAAATCGCTGGCTATTTCAATTCATCTTGAGAATTTTCTATATCTGTTGCATTGGTTCCGGCCTCATCCAGTTCAGGGTTCATAAAATAGCACTGCCGCACACGCTCGCCTCCATAACCATCTCTACAATATCCGCGTTGCATCTAAATTGACCATACGTTAATTCCCCCATTCATTTGATCATATAGTGGTCTTGCTACCCAATAAGCTAGTTTACGAGGATTGTGTGGCAAAGAAATAAAAATAATTACGCTAGGCTGTTTATACAAAAATAAAGAAGTCAGATGGAACGGACTCACTAACAATTGTTCTCTTTAAAATAGTTCGTCGTTGGCCCAGGCCAGCGAATGAACGATAGTCAAATCATGTTGGTCCAGAGGTCTTCTTCTGAACAGTTCCCACATATAATAGATTCCGAAGATGTCTGAAATGTTTTGGTACCAGAGTTAGTACATGAGACTTGCGAATGACCGCTGCAAGCGCGAGCGAAATCAGAAGAGATAGTCGAAGCACGTGACCACGCTTGTATTTCGTGAAATTGTACAAGTGCGGGTTTTTGTAGTTTTTCGTATTCAAACAAAAAACGATCATGCAATTGATGAAATACGTAGTGTTATAATGGAAGTAAAACAAAGGTACAACAAGCCACACTGCTCTCACACTAGAGCGTTGACCGTGAAAAGGAAAAACGCTCAAATAACTAAAGTAACGAATCACGTTTCTCACCTCAAGTTGCGTAATCAGCTAAGTGCTGAGAGAGACGGACGCGACGTCCGAAACGACTAGTGGAAGGAGTGAGGTTTGCGGGAGGGATATATTGCGTAGGTGTGTGTTGTTGGGATAGCAGGATTGCTGGATGTGGTCCCGGGTGCTTCAATGTAGGCAGCTTTCAGCCAATCAATGGAGACGGTATCACGCATTCCGCTTCTCTCTAAAACAAAGTATTTGGAGTGACGTTCGATATCCTTGAAGGGGCCATCAAAACAGGGTTAGAGGGGACTCGTCGTTGCGTCATGTCGGACAAATACAAATGGTGTAGAAGAGAGTTCGGTTGAGATGTGCTCCGTTCGCGTTGATCGTCTGGTCGGTGTCGCACGAAGTTCGGACATTTGTTGTTTCAAACGGGAGACGAATGTAACGGGTGATTCGGGCTGTCCGCCAGAAGAGGAAACTAGTTCACCGGGCAGACGTAGAGTTCTACCGTATACTATTTCGGTTGGGGAACAGGGAAGATCCTCCTTAATAGTGGAGCGAATAGCGAGCAAAATGAGGGGTAAAGGAGAGGACCATGAAGATAGGTTAATTTGCGCAGTCAATGCAACTTTGTGGTATCGATGGAAACGCTCAACCAAACCTTTAGAACAGGGGTGATACGCGGTAGTCGATATGTGATGGAAACCGAATAGTGTAGAAAACTCACGGAAGAGATTACACTGAAATTGTGAGCCGCGATCCGTAGTAACGGTGGAAGGTATACCAAAATTACTCACCCAGTGCTGCAAAAATGAAAAAGCAACCGTTTCAGCTGAAGTATCCGAAATGGGTACAGCTACTGGCCAACGGGTAAAACGATCAATCATGGTAAGGATATGAGTGAAACCGTTTGATGGGGAAAGAGGACCAACAATGTCGAGATGGACGTGTGTGAATCGAGCATCAGGAACGGCAAATGAACCGATAGGTGAGTTCGTATGCCGAGTTACTTTACTGCGTTGACAGGCGATGCACTGTTTGGCCCAGGATGTCAGGTCCTTATTCATGAAGGGCCATACAAAGCGTGCACTAATCAACTTCCTTGTTGCTCTGATTCCTGGATGAAAAAATCCATGGAAGTGGGCGAAAACAACGCGTCGAAAAGCTTCGGGGACGATTGGGCGAGCTGATCCGGTAGACATATCACAAAAAATGGTTCCGGATTGGAGGGGTAACGGAATTGAAGAGACTTGAAATGAAGGGAACGATAGAATGGGCAAAAAATTAGGATCACTGTTTTGAAGGTTCGCCAGCTTGGCTAGGTCCAACTGCGTGGAAGGGTGAAGAGCGTTTATGTCAGGACGGGATAGGGCGTCTGCGACGACATTGTCCGAACCTGGAGTGTACCGAATGTCGGTAGTGAACTGTGAAATATAGTCGAGATGGCGTATCTCGCGTGGTGAATATCGATCAGGCTTGGCGTTGAAGGCATAGGTGAGTGGCTTATGGTCGGTTTGAATGGTAAACGATCTACCCTCTAACAAGTGCCGGAAATGGCGAATAGCAAGGTAAATTGCGAGTAATTCACGACCAAAAGTACTGTAACGCGTTTGGGCAGCCTGCATCTTCTGCGAGAAAAACGCTAGTGGTTGAGATGTGTTGTTAACAACTTAATGAAGCACGGCACCGACGGCAGCGTTCGAAGCATCAGTTGTCAAAATCAGGTTTGTGCTTTCGTGAGTACCGAGGAAGGGTAACTTTGTGGCCTGAGCAATGGCTTGCTTGGATCTTTCGAAAGTGGCAATGGCGGCGGGGGCAAAGTAACAGATTTTTCTTTGGAGCCAAGTAAATCGGTCAGTGGCTGCAAAAGATCTGCACAGTGAGGGATGAATCGCCGGTAGTAGTTGATGATACCTATGAAACGACGAAGTTGGGTGAGAGTGGTGGGTATGGGAAAAGACTCTAGGGCCAAAATGCGATCGGGTAATGGTGAAATACCTGTGGCGTCAATGTGGTGACCAAGAAAATCCAGGCTAGTAACACTGAATAAGCATTTGTCAGTGTTCAAACGTATGTTGTAAGTGGAAAAACGTTCAAACACTGCTCTGAGATGAGCTGCATGTTCAGCTGGGAGGTGCTAGCGACTAAAGCATCGTCAAGTTAGGCATACACAAACGGTAAGCCACGTAAAACCTCGTCCATGAAATGTTGAAACGTTTGGGTTGCATTTCAAAGACCAAAGGGCATACGCGTTAATTCGAAACGGCCAAACGGTGTTGTGACGGCTGTTTTGAGAATGTCATCCGGGGCTACGGGTATGTGGTAATATGCTCTTACGAGATCGAGTTTACAGAAGATGTTTGTATGGCATAGCGTACTTGAGAAATCGTGGATATGTGTGATGGGATACCTGTCTGGGATAGTAGCGTTGTTGAGAGAACGGTAATCTCTACAGGGTCTCCAACCCCCTTCAGATTTCTTAGGTACCATATGTAGAGGTGATGACCAATGACTCGATGAAGGGCGGATGATGTCGATTTCGAGCATGTATTCGAACTCATGTTTTGCGATTTGTAACTCATCCGGATGAAGTCGGCGGGGGTTGGCATGGACAGGTGGACCTCTCGTCTGAATGTGGTGAACGACGGAATGAGTGACCGGTTGGGTGTACTGACGGGTGAGTAAGGGTTGGAAAATTCCTAAGTATGTCAGCAATATATGAATCCGTTAAGATAACTCGGATACCCGTGGATGAATTTGGGGCACTAATTCCATTGACTGAGAGGGAAGTAAGCGCGTCTAACAGACTTTTGTTTCGCACGTCGACAGATAGATTGTAATGGGTGGGGAAATCTGCACCGATGAACGGTGTTTGGAAGTCGGCCAAAAGGAAGATCCACTTGAACGCACGCCGCAATCCAAGGTCAAGGGTGAGGGAACGTTCGCCATATGTAGCGATGCGGGTACCGTTAGCGGCTTGTAACGAGGAAGAAGCAGAATCGGGAAGTGGATTCTTATGTGGCAGCACAATAACTTCAGCTCCCGTATCTACGAGGAAACGTAGACCACTTGAACGATCGGTGATGTGGAACAGGCGGCTAGTGCGAGGAGGGCCACAGACAGTCGTCGCCGTTACTGGCTGGCGTGCTGTTGGGCCATAAGATTGGTGATACCAGCACCAAAAGGGACGGGCACGAAATAACGATCTGGATCGTGAACGTGGTCGATGCGATATAGAAGCAAGAAGTGAATCGAAATCTGTAGTGGGTGAGGGCGAAAGACGGAGTTTACGGGGTTAGTGAGGTTAGTTGGGAATGTTTCGTGTATTTTATCCGCCATTTGGGCTAGCTGCTCCAAGCTGTGGTCATCAACGAAAGCGCTGATGACGTGGGACATGGAGGGTGGGAGTTTGTCGAGCCATAGTTGGGCCAGGATTTCCACCGCTAGCTTACGGCCGCAGAGAAGACTGCGCATGTGGCAAAGCAGTTGTGCTGGCGATCTGTCCCCAAGTTCGACAGTGGTGAATAGATCCCGTAGCATTTTGTTTTCTGATTTCCCTGTCCTACTTATGACGGCCGCTCGAAGGGCGTCATACGGATTTTCCTTAGGAATATCTTCCAACAGATCTTCAACTTCTGTTGCTACATCACAAGGAAGATGCTGGACAACATAGGAAAACCGGGTGATTTGGAAGTGATGCGTCGGGTAGCAAAAACGGCCTCAACCTGGTGAAACCATACCCTGGGGTTGCGTTGATTGTAGTCTGGCAAACGTATGCTAATTGCATTCTCGACTTTGATCCGCTGGATCAAATTGTGCTTCCATAATTACCGGGCAAAAGAAACAAAATTATGACGACTTGAAAGAAAAAGCTTTCAAAATAATATCTAGAAATACTCGGGCTCACCAAACTTGTAGTGGTCTGGCTACCCAATAAGCTAGTTTACCAGGAGTGTGTGGCAAAGAAATAAAAATAATTACGCTAGGCTGTTTATACAAAAATAAAGAAGTCAGATGGAACAGACTCACTAACAATTGCTCTCTTTAAAATAGTTCGTCGTTGGCCCAGGCCAGCGAATGAACGATAGTCAAATCATGTTGGTCCAGAGGTCTTCTTCTGAACAGTTCCCACATATAATAGATTCCGAAGATGTCTGAAATGTTTTGGTACCAGAGTTAGTACATGAGACTTGCGAATGACCGCTGCAAGCGCGAGCGAAATCAGAAGAGAGAGTCGAAGCACGTGACCACGCTTGTATTTCGTGAAATTGTACAAGTGCGGGTTTTTGTAGTTTTTCGTATTCAAACAAAAAACGATCATGCAATTGATGAAATACGTAGTGTTATAATGGAAGTAAAACAAAGGTACAAACGCCACACTCCCTCCGCCTGTGTAATTTTGATCTCCGATTGTTTTGGTTATTCATTCCCGCCACTCACTTTGCCGCAGAGGCTATCCTGTCTGACGCTTGCGTGTTGACATGTGTGTCTTTATGTGAATTTGCGCTGCTGACCTGCTTGCCCAAGCGCCCTCCTGTCTGTTTGCCGAGCCTGCCTTGACTGGTTCTCTCATGAATTCCGTGTGAGAATCACGAGACCGTCGTCGGAAGGGCGACCACAACCCATGATGCTGAACCATCATTCCGCTCACCGTTGTTTGGTGTCGGGACGTTAACACTGCACTGTGTCGGTCGGTGACAGACCTGTGAGGTTGTTGACGCTACGAACACCAACAATTGAGGTTTTTTGTACACATTTGTTTACCCTGGTGTAAATAGTACCGTAGAATCAGGAACCCAATTCTTCCTTTTGTTATTCGGGATTATAGAACCTACGCGTCACTCGAGGTTCCGTATCGGGAACCCCAACAATCCCTGTAGATAAGCTGCTGAGACAGAAACTTCCGAAACGATCTAATCGCCATTGATAAGCCTGGTCTCTCTGGGACTGCAAAGTTCATTCCATCTCACTGCTCCGGGAAAAAAGCCCCTTATTCAACATTGAGTTGCAATACATCCTCACAATTTCACCTTTCTCGCATCTGTCCTCTAAGTAATCGATGGATTGTGACTCCTCATGACCATCCTATCAATGCTCCATGCCTGTCCATTCATATTTGTCTTTCATGGTCGGCGTTTTGGTTGCTACCAGCCCCCTAACATCCATTAACTGCTTCTGCACTATGTCCATCTCATACGCATCACTCGCTGAAGATGCGAATTACTGCACGTTTGACATCCCTCCTTCAACTACATGCCCCCGCCATGCATTCAGCAACATGTTTCGAGGCCCACACTCCGCCATCCGCAATGAAGAATAGATTACAAGCGAAAGGGAACAAGTTTGGTCTAACGCGTGTTACCCGACTTAATCCTACCCTGTTTGTAACATACATCCATGGAAATCCTCCTGAGAATCCAAAATATCCTTCGTGGCGGTACAAAAAATAATGTATCGTGGAAGCCAAAAGAGACTCACTAATTACGTGCGGTGTACCCCCCCGAAGTAGTTTGTGTTGCAAAGCCCGTGCGGCTTTCTATGAGGTACAGTCGCGCAGTGCTGAGATAATCCCCTTGTCATAACACTCAAAACCACTATGCACTTAACTTTTTCTCCGACCTCTTGGCCACACACACTTTGAACTACGGGGGTACCCCGTGCTCACTCAAATTCAGTTTTCGCGCGTCATCCAATATCAGAAATCCATCCATACATTTAGTCAGTACTCTGCTGTTCGCCGTAGCCCCCCAACTGGTATTCTGCCACCCTCTGCAGCTCCCTAATCTACTTCATGAGTGAGCCTCGAGGAAAAGTTGAGAAAACTCTGTGCCATGGCTCTATAACTCCCTTCTTTCTCCATTGCAGGGGTCAGCACATAATAATCCCACCTCCCTAATGCTTTTCAGCCATTCGCTTTGTTCTACGGGAGCATCTAAAATAATCACGTACGCCTCAAACACGAATGAGAGAATCATCTACACACAACTCTCTTACTTCTACCTTCCTTCACCGACAATAGCATAGGTAGCCACGATCTTATTTGCGTGAAGCTTGGCCAGGGTACGTCCCTCATATTCAAATGCGGCCACGCCCGTTCGCATCCATAATAATAATACTGTATATTCCCAACTTGTGGGTGACATACCGTCTGGCATGATCATGCGTTTACACTAAGGCTGGGATATGACAGGGGGATTTATGGGCAGTGGGGATTGTGCGAAAAGGGGACAATGTCATAAACAGTGGGAAGTACTCGATTAAATAATAATGTTTCTTTTGCAACTTGTAGGGAACAACAGGCATGTGGTCCAATTAATTCAAAGACTCAGTCGGCTGATATGAATTAAAACTGGAAAACCATTTCTGGCCATGAGTGACCTTGGGCGGTTGAGTAAATTGCCGGATTCGCAACGAGCAAAAGTGAAGGTGGAGATGGGACAATTCGAATTGGAAGAATATGACAAGTTAGTCTCAAAAATATTGTGCAATCTGAGAACAAGCAAACTCACTGGTTTTAGTGTTATAGGGAAGTCAGATGCAGGGGTTAGGTTGGATGGGGACACAGAGGTGGTTGACTTCGAACGAGTAGTCCAACAGTTTGGAATAAATGTCATGGTGGCAGTTG